GGCAAAATATTTGGATGGGTTAGAAAATAATAATTTACCACTTCGTGCTGATGCCACATTATCTAGAAACCTCTCCTTATATAGCTTATTCTCTCCTTCTCAGTAAATTTGTTTCTACACTTGCATTGGCCTTGTGTGTGTGTGTGTGTGTGTGTGTGTGTGTGTGTGTGTGTGTGTGTGTGTGTGATATAACAAGGTATTTATTGTTTACCTAAAAGAGAAAAGAGGGGAAAAATCTCCCTCAAACCTATGAGTTCAGCATGAACCTTACCAATTGAAACCATGCGTTTTAGGCTAAAACACAGGCACAGCCTTCAGAGAGAGAGCTCTAGTACCTCCCACTTGCTCTGCTTCCTCTAGCCATTTGGATAATATTGCTTTTAGTTTGCACGCATTTTTAAAGCTGAGCTGCAGGTTTTCAAATCGGCAGATAGTGGTTTGACTGAATTCAGAGCCGTGCACAGCTGCCAGGGCCTCCCCGACATTTGTCTGGGTGTATCCTGTGAAAGGACAATAAAGACTGTCAGCTCCCGTTTTTCAAGAAATATTCATTTTGGTTCATTCTCACACAATCTCCATATTCTCCCTTGCCAATCATTAAATACTTTTTAAAAATTATACTTCTTTGGCCATTTAGAATTATTTAGTAAAGTTAAATGTAGAATTGTTCAGTACTTCAAAGAATATTTCTTCTGGTTAACAAATTACTTTTTTCTAGAAGTCAAAAGAATTCAATAGGAATATCTGCCTTTCCTAATATTCAGCCAGGTTGGATAGGTATGTCATAAACACTTTATAAGACACTTTAAAATACTTTCTTTTTCATCTTTATTATTAAATATCTGATAATATATGCTCAAAATCTTTAATATATTAACTATAATGCATAAAATACATGGTAATATGTCAAATTTTTTTATTTCAACAGTAAGAGTGTGAAAATTCTACTATATTGTTGAAGGGTTCTAAATAAAATTAATATTATGCTTACTTTCCCTAAAAACCTGTTTATTATGAGTCTACAATAGCAAAACATTGTATGTATACCTTTGAGCATATTTATTATATTATTTGGTAATGCTTCTGTCTCCAGGCAAAAGATTCTTATTGATTGTCCCAAACATCTTTAGAGTACAAGCTGAAATAAACTATCAACACATAATTTGAAACATTCAGAGAAATGTAAATAGGAAACTGAAAATAAAATGTTATAAAGATGCCTATTGCTGTGTTTATTATTATTTCAAGGCCTAAGGCTATATACCTGTATGTTTAAAATGATTACATATGATGCCCATCAGTAAATATCATTGTAAAATTACTTATGGTTCATTCCACAAATGCAGAACTTCAAACTATCATTTCAATCCATTAAAAAAAAAATACACTACTTCACGAATTTGAATCAAAGTTAATTGTTATGGCTATTTTATGTTAAAAACGCTTTTTAATAGAAAATGAACAAATGCTCTGAACAGTTCACAGAAAAGGAATCACAAATGACTGTCAAGTACCTAAAAGAATATTCCCCACTCATAAAAAGAGAAATTTAAAATGAAACTATAAGATGCCACTTTGACTTATCTGATTTGCAAAGATACTAAAGATTAATAGCATATATTTTCTTTCAACCACCATTTATTTATACTATGTTCCAGTCACTGTTCTAGGTTCTGCAGACATACCATTAAGGAGAAAACAAAAATAAACAAATAAAAAACCAATCTAAAACTCATGCCTTCATGGAGTTTATATTCTGAGGGTGACAAAAGAGACACTCATGGTGGTAGCAAAATTTGATGCAACTTCTATAGAAATCAGTTTGACAATATCTGTCAAAATTATAAATACACATACTCTAATCAAGCAATTGTGCTTCTGATATTTTTTCCTACGTACATATTTATATAGGTCCAAAATGACATTTGTAAGATTAATAATTGTGGCATTGTTTTTAGCAGCAAAAGATTAGAAACCCCCTAAATTCCATCAGTAGAGGACTGGTTAAATAAACTGAGTATATTCATAAAGTGAAGTTTGACCAATCCATAAAAGAAAAGGAGTCCTAGAAAAACCAGTACTGAAAGCTCTCTAAAATACATCTGTATGAAGGAATAGATGCATTTGCTTAAGATGCATGAGATATCTCTGGAAAGGCACAAGAAACTAACAACATTGATAAACAGGAAAGACAAGCTGAAAGGATACACGACACTTATACTCTTTCATACTTTTCAATCATATGAATATATTATATATTCAAAAGTTCCAATAAAATACAGATTAAAATGGGTACTTCAAAACTAATCTTGAGGTGGATAAGTTGGAAAAGAGTACATAAAAATGTATTTATTTGGGCTATTGGGAATTTACTCCTTGTAAATAAAGGTTTTTGTGGAATTTTCATAATCGGACTAACTTAAGAACACAGTAGAGATGTAAAGGAGAACTGTCAGACGTCTGAGCAGTGTGAGATTTAACAGCAACAGAGCACGGATTTGCAGATCAAATGATGTGTTTCATTGCTCTTAACAAGCGCATACCTAACTTAATTCTTCTCACTTTAAATTCATTGGCGAACTTCTCAAGTTCTCGGATTTCTGGAGAATCCATGTCTATTGGCTCTTCAACCAGTTTACTTTTCCGCCTGAGTTCCTGCTTGAAATCAGCGGTGGGGTCCTCTGCAAGGAGGGGCTGGTGTATGGGGGGAAAGCCATGACTCAAGGTGTGGTCAGGAAACTTATAAAGACAAGGAGTTAAACTACCTGTGAGTAAACAAAGAAAGAAAAGGAGAGGACCATTTGTAATTATCCCTTATTTCTACACAAGCAAAGGTTTTGCCCGTTAGAGTCTATTATTCTGCTTTAGCCAGTATCCAGTCCTAAAGATGACCTACACTCAGTCTTCCCAAATAGCAGTCAGAGTGGCTTAGTAGAAATGGGTTTATTTATCTTCCACCGTCTCCGGAGCAGCAAAAACAAAGATAATGTTAAAGTAAAGAACCAGGGGATTGCAAGTAATCAAAATGGAAATAAGCAAATTCTCTCTGAAGTGTAAGTTTTCCATCATTTTTTTCGATTAAAAGACGTCTATTCCTGGGAATCTGAGGTTCCCGTCTCCGGAGCAGCAAAAACAAAGATAATGTTAAAGTAAAGAACCAGGGGATTGCAAGTAATCAAAATGGAAATAAGCAAATTCTCTCTGCAGTGTAAGTTTTCCATCATTTTTTTCGATTAAAAGACGTCTATTCCTGGGAATCTGAGGTTCAACTCTAACTAAAATATTTGCATCGATCTCTATTTTCTTAATTCGTTGAACAATTAACCTGTGATGTTTGTTATCATCGAGGCGCTTAGTGCTATGGGCACCAAGTGATTGAGAAGTTGATCTTACAGTATTAAAAAAGTCCCACTGTTGTGTCAGAAAATGCTTAATTTCAATGGGAAAAAATTGTCTTTTTTAAAAAATTGAATGAAGGCAGATAAAAAGATAGTTGTGAGAACATAAAATACATTTATATGATTAAATAGATTTGAAGAGCAAATACACTAACAAAAGGTAACTAAGAGTTCTATTAAAAGGTCAGCAACATTTCTTGAAAAGTATACAACATAATGGAATCACTTCCTGATTATTATTTAAGAAAAATCAGAGGAAGGGTGCAATTCTAGATATTTTAGGCAATTGCCCATCAGTAACAAAGTATTGAATCTATTGAGTGGGCTAAACGATAAATCACACTCAAAAATTTCTGACATTTAAAAAAAACAATTGCTTCCAGATTTCACTCTTCATTAGCAAAGAAGAGTCTATCTCAGGTGGGGAGCACAGGTGACAGGATGGTAGATAAGCCAAATTCCAACACATTTTGTTTGTTTTCTTTGTTGATATATTAACAATTTTTATGGTTAAGGATTTCACTTCAATTTATTTTAAACGACATGTATAATCAAGACACTTTGATATAAAAATATTGAGTAATTAATCATTTTTCTTATGAGTATAAATAAATATTTTAAAATAAATGATTATAAAATATATGCAATAATTATTCTTGGAAATTTACTGAAAAAACACATCAAGAGTTCATGCTACCTATAATTTTTCCGTAAATACATCACACATCAAAGACATGAGTAATGATGTATTTTGCCATAGTATATAAATTTTACATTACTATATCAATATGTAATGAACAAAGAACAGTGTAAGTCAGCACACTGTTGGCTTATATTATTTAGAAAATAGAACTATAAAGTGCACCCCTACCCAATAGAACATATTATTTTTCTGGAGCAAAGTAAACATACAAGTATATTAAAAAATAGCAAAATAAATTTGGCTGCTTCACAGGTGGAAAAAGATTTGAAAGAAACTACGTTTGTCTTGAAAAATTCATGCCACTTTTACAAACAAAAATTATCCAGTTTTACTTTTTAAAAAGTCATTTTACTATCTACTTTATACTTTAGTGTGATACATACATTAGCTGAGAGCAAAAATTTATAAAACAATTGTATCAACTTTTAACTTACATAGCTCCTTTTGGAGAATGTTCATTGCTTCCGGGGTTTAATTTTAGCTTCCTATTATTAGGTATAGATTTATTTGAATTGAAGTGAAATACTAATAGATATAAAAAGAAAACTGATTACATTTATTTTAGCATCTGCTTAATATTTATCTAAAGACATCTTTTGCTTATGTTTTCAGAGTTATTGTAACATATGTGAAAAAACTTCACTTCTTTTATTATTCAGGTATATCAGATATCACTTAATACACTTAATGATGAAATACCCTGAGAAATAGTAAATACAGAGGAAAAAACCAGGCTACTGTGTGATTTTGCACATTTAGTATATTTTAAGACACTTTAGATAATTCATTTAACCTGCATCAAATTATTTTGTTTTAAGTAAATAACTTGTTGCATATCTTTTACATAGACATACCTTAAGGTCGAATTTGTTAACAATATTGATCACTACTTTCAATTTTTCTTGCTGATCATAATCTTGTACTGCTACAAATCTTTCTATGTGACACTTGTGCTATGTACATTTTACATTTATCATCTTCCTCATCCTTATTCTTATATAAACAAATGAATTAGGAAGAAAATGTATTTTTCCCCACAATTTGCAATTTAGAAAATGTAAGTAGAAAGAAATTAAATAAATTTCCACCGGTGCTGCAATGAATTAACTATGCATTTGAAACTGGAACTTCAGGTTCAATAAATGTTGCAATAACACACATCAGAATAATTGCCTAGTTCATTCTCCAGGCTGTCTGTATGGGGGTGAATTAAATAACTTTCCAGATTTTTCCTGTGTTTAAACACATTTGGCTACATTAAAAAGATGTTTTCACACAAAAATATTATAATTATCTTTAAAAGTATTAGAAGTGTGCCATCCCTGTTGCTAGAACATTTTAGAGGTAATTTATATATTATAAATACTCTCAGAAAGTGGACAGTTAGAAAATAAATTTGAATAGAGTCTGTAAAAAGTGTACAGGAAATACCAGGCTCCAAGGTTCGGAATCCAGAGCAAGAATGCACTGATGTGCAATACATTTGTAGTTTTCATTACATGAAAGTATTTACAATTATTTGCAGGGTCATAGTTTTCCTGAAACTAACCTTACACAGAAATTCAACATAGCAGTTAAAAGCACAACCAAACAAACTTTTATTTCTATCATTTAATCCTGTATTTGAGAGAGAGTGGGGACTGATTTGTATGGTATACATGGCAAGATATTTTTCAAATCTTTTTAAAGCCTGAATTACTGAAAAAGAAAAAAAAATAGAAAGAAGATAAAAGATGTGGTGAGTCAAGTGCAGCAGAGATCTTGTAAACATTTTCCAAAGCATTCATAAAGCAAAATGGTCTTTAGGTGTAGACAAGCATACACTTAAATAGCTTGAAAGTGTTTTCACACTCTCTACAGTCCAAAATATGTTATCATATTGCAGATTAATCTACCACAACCTTTCTGAATTGCTCTGTATGTGTTTCTGTGTGGTGGAGGTGACAGAAGAAAAGAGGAAAATCTTCTAAAGCAGGCAACGGGGGGCAGAGGTAGGGCTCGCCTTGCAAGGCGCTGACTCAATGTACCGTGGCATGGAGCAAATTGTTCTTGTGTGCATGTGGCTAGCTGACATCTCAGGTTACATGCTTAATGCCTTAAAAAAACAAACAGGAGAAGCAGAGGGACACAGTAAAATACACCACCCTGCTATAAACACTCACAGGAACATGTATTTGAATGTTCCCATTTATTCCCCCATTTTTTCCCACACATGACAACTTGAAGCAAATCATAAATTTTAATTCTGATCTTTTCACTTTTGTGCATTGGTAAATCCCATCCATGTACAACAGGCGTCCACTGCCTGTTTTTGCAAATTACGGTTAATTGGAACACAGCCATGCCCATTCATCCCACAGTCATCCCCTATGACTGCTTTCCTGCTACAATGACAGAGTTGAATAGTTGCAACAGAAACTAGAAAGCTTATGTTATTTACTGTCTTCCATGCCCATTCATCCCACAGTCATCCCCTATGACTGCTTTCCCGCTACAATGACAGAGTTGAATAGTTGCAACAGAAACTAGAAAGCTTATGTTATTTACTGTCTGGTACTTTATAGGAAAATGTTGCCAACCCCTAGTCTAGAAGGAAAAATTCATCATGTTACTGCTACTGAAAAACCTTTTATGATTCAGAGGCAAAAGATCTTCAGAATCACTCCTTCCCTCAGAGTTGATACAACTAGCCCTTCCCTCAGAGTTGATACAACCAGAACAATTTAGGACAAAATACATCAAAGAGAAAGGAAAAGGGAAAAAGGAAAAAGGAAGGAAGGGAGGGAGGAAGGAAGGAAGGAAGGAAGGAAGGAAGGAAGGAAGGAAGGACTCCTTCCCTCAGAGTTGATACAACTAGAACAATTTAGGACAAAATACATCAAAGAGAAAGGAAAAGGGAAAAAGGAAAAAGGAAGGAAGGAAGGAAGGAAGGAAGGAAGGAAGGAAGGAAGGAAGGAAGGGGGAAAAATAAAAGAAAGAAGAGATGTGTTCCGAGTAGACTATTTTTCCATGTCAGCTGGTTTCTGCTGACTTTTCATTAGTACAGGTGGAGAGAGCATTTTCAGCCTCAAAAATCTTTTCTCTAATAATCTTTTCTCAAAAATCTCTCCTCATCAAAAAGAATGGATGTTCATCATCTTGGTTAATTCCCAAACCTCAGCTTTATTTTTGTTTTCCTCTTAAAATAAATTTTTAAAATGAGTACTCTCACACCACTTCTTGGTTTGGCCATTGTCATCTAACCATGCTGGGCTGAACATTCATGATCGTGAGGCTGATAGGCTCAGTTTCTGCAGGACAGTGGAAAAGGGGAACAGCCCATTGAGCCTGTTTCCTAAATTTCACCCTGCTTTAGAAGCTGGAGCACAGAAACAATCTCAGATACCCAAGAGTCAGAGCTTGGAGGACTTTCTATTGACATTTGTTTTGTTTTGTGTTTATCAGAAGAGATTTTGAATAGCATTTGTTATTCTCTGTTTCCTGTTATAGGTACTGTAGGCTGCTGAATTCTAAATTCTCAGGAGGGAAGGAACAGAAGGAATTTAGTTGCAAGTGTATCTGAAGAGATCACAGGAAAAGGCAGGTTGAGTGTGCACAAATTTGCTACAATTTAACCCCAGTAGAGTTGCAGTATACACCACAACTTAGATGTGAAGAGATTAAAACTCAGAGGTGTTAAGTGACCTGAACAAGGTTAGTAGTTAATGATGTGGCTAATTCACTATACCCAACTAGTCATTCTGTTTAGTTTGCCTCATACCTGGACTATGAGGTACAGTGGATTCATCTGATGATTAAAGTTCTCTCTACCAACCTGACAAAATACTAGCTGTAGCTCTTCCCTTCCTGTGGGTTATTAATTTAATGAGATTCTCAAGCTCAGTGTAAGCTTCAGAGCAGGGTAATAAAATAACCATATTAAAATAAAGTAATTTCACATCCTTTGAAACGTAGTTCTTTCTGTAGCTTCATTTTCATATGGAACATGACATTGAACCTGTTTTTGTTGTTGATAAGATGCTTCTGTGGACTGTGTGGAAGTGGCTGATATGATTAACGCCTTGAAACTTCTTGGAAAGTTCAAATGACGTAGCCAGATTTCTATTGTGTATTTTATACCTTTTTTCTCTCATTTCTGAATTCTTGTATTTTATAACTCAGTTTGTGCATCTTCTCTGGGGATGAAGGCAGGAGAGTTCAGTTCTGTAAGATTAAATCTGCCACGAAGCAAATGCTGGATATGTGTAAAAATGTAGACATTCTGGCAAATTATAAAGCATATCACATTTTAATGATGTTCCTCAAAAATATTCAAATATCCCTATGCTTGCCATGGTGTTCTTCTTTCAGTGACAAAAATTATTTCATTTTAAGATTACAGTGATACCTCCAAATTTTTGTATAACCATTTTGCTCTGATGTCACTAAACCAGGCTTTGAATCATTTTAAAAGGCTTTCCGAGGGGCCTTTCATTTTTAAATGTGATGAGGAAGAGTTTACTGGAAGAGGGTTTGCTGAGTGCCTGCTTGACGGCCTTGTATCAGCAAATACTGAACTGCCTGTTTGACTTTCAGTGTAAACATGGGCCTCTTGGCTTTGTCCTGGAAGCAGGAAGAGAATTAGGATTCTGAGGCCAACTGCAAACTCACTAGAGCAGAATTCATCTTGAGGTATTTGGGTGAAAAATTATTGGTCTCTGGTCTGTGACTGGTTTTATCTTTGTGTTAACCTCAATTAGTTATCAGGGACTGCCTCTGTGCTGGGTTTTGAGAGAAATTAAAGGTGTACCTTGGTTCCTGGAAATCACTTCGAATGAACTGTAAGGCCTTTCTTCCAAGAGATAGTAGCATGCCGCCATGTACATCATTTCCTGTCTACATAATCGAAATGTTGTAGAGGTCACAGAAGTCATTCCACCTGCACCTCCAGTAGCTAAATGCACATATTTTGCTATCTTAAAATGAAATTAGCTCATCATCCAGGAGGGCTGTTCTCATTAACTATGAATACTGATTAACTAAGCATATGGACCATAAATGATCAATTTTTGGAGAAGAAAAAAATACGATTTCCTTACTTCTTAATTATTAAAAAGACATCAGGATTTGCAAGTAATCATTAAGAACATCAGCCTTCATTTGATCATAAATGTGAAGATACTAGTTTGTTCAGAATACTGCTAATAAAGTGAAAAAGAAGCCAATATTTTTCTGGAATATTATTTTATTCTAAAGTTTTAATATTTTATTTAGTCTTAAGGTGAGAAATTTTGAGAAATTAAAGATTGGTAAGCTAAATTATTTGTTCTAATTTATTTAAAAATTATAAGCATAAATCTTTTTTGTTTGTTTCATTGCTCATCTGGATGATAACGAAACACCATCAGTTAGAAAAGATTTCCCTAATATACGATTACTTAATCCAAAGTTTCTCTCTCAGTATGTCACACACACACTCCCACTTATGTTCTGTCACATAGTCTTGGTTTCTTTTCACTGATGAGTTCTTTCTGCTGCAGTAATCAGTATAAAAGATCTAAGAATTTCTTTAGAAACAAACCCAACAAGTAGGAAATCTGTGCACAACACACTGTGAATTTTATTAAATCATTAAAATCTTTTATCTGGTGATGCCCTGAAATAAAGCAATGAATTTTGTGAAGGGTGGATCTCATAGGCCAGATTTTCTCATTCCTTAAAAACCATGCTTCCATTCCTTCTCATAAGAATCAGAAAATAGGTAGTTTTACATTATATAGTGATGCATTACTTCTCCAGAAAAGAAAAGTATGTAACTTTAAGTATTTCAATTTCAGTTAAGACTCATAAGCAATTCAGAAAGGGCTGTCAAAGCCTTAAACACCTGTCACTAAAGCCCCTGCAGATAACTCTTAGCCTTCAATCAGTGTCTTATTTATCTTTATGAACCAAACGTCCAGAAGAAATACTGAGATGAGGGAGATGTTCTATAAATTTTTGCTATCTGATATGGTAGCCACTAGCCACATGAAGTTGTCGAGCACTTGAAACGTAGCTAAAGCAACTGAGGAACTGAGTTTTAAATTTTATTTCAATTAATTTACATTTAAGTATAAATAGCCATATGAGGCTAGTAGCTGCTGTATTCCTCCTGAAGGCAAGCCTGCCTGCCAATCAGATGAACAAATGACAACCAGCAGTTTGACAGAAGTGAATTTGAATAAAAAACATACAAAACAAACGCAAGAGTTAGGAAGCCCAGCAGCTCAGAGTTGCATAAAATAGGGCAATCAGGTATAATTCCCATGGTTTCTAAGGGCATCACAGATCAGGGAACATCTCAGTAAGTGGTGGTTTTTACCAGTCATTTCCAAGGTCAAGAGATCGCAATTTCATGTCACACTCTGGTCATGATTCTCTCAGGCCCAAGAAATCCATCTAAGTGTCCCAAAATTCAATAGCATTTGTAAAGACAAATTTTCTTACCTGCCATCACTCCATAGGTTGATGGCTGGTTTCCATAATGACAGGAAGGAACAGAATAATGAAGTCCCGTTGCTGTATTTCCCAACGTTGCCACCGAGAAATGTGCGCACAGACATTTAGGAGTTTGGATCAAAGACAAAACAGACGGGACTGGTAAGAAAATTCATGAGGATTCAAGACACATTCATTTTATTTCAAAAATAAACATTTATGCGATTCTTAAAGTTATACACCAACAATTTTTTCTCATTTGGAGGAAGGTCTCTGATTAGTAGGTTAACACTAGGGGTCGAAGTTTGTTTCAAGTAATAAGATCATAAATCACTGAAGTAGACTATAACCTTCATTAATTATCCTGTGCTCTGTGCTACAACTATGAGTGCCCCATGAAGGAATGACTAACCAGTCTGAATCTTGGCTACAGAATTCTTGGAGTTACAGAATTCTTGTAGGTGCCATCCAGTGTAGACATTGCAGCAAACTGACCAGAGGAATGGTCTCTTACAATTCTTGTGTAGCATGGTATTATAAAGAGGTCTTTCTCTGGAAGAATGAATACAGAAATTGACTCTTGGATGGTCTATACTTTTGTTTATTTTCCTAACACATTTCTCTTATCATATCAGAGAGAAAATGGCAGAGAAACCACCCTTGTATTGAATACAATCATAAAAATCCCACTACATTTCAGGCTATTATGAAAAACCTGTGACAACATTTGATGTATTTATGTCAATGTTGAAACCATGAGGTTGTAGGTTTTCTGCATGGACACGATCAATTCAACCATTCTAATGATAAAGCCAGTTAGAAAATAATTTCATTGACTATTGAGTGATTTGATATCCATAAAGCTATATATAAACACAACTTAGTTCATAAATTGTTATAGGCTTCAATGTATATTTAGAAAGCAAATTTGAATTACTAAACTTTTATCTCGTTTTAAAAACAAGTCACCAAGTTGATTAAGAGCATGAACTTCTGACAATAAAAATACTAGTCAATATTTCCTTATGTAGTTTCCCAATTTTCTTCACATCCCAAATAAGGTGGTGGATTTTCATAAATATACATAATCATATCTTCTTGAATAAATGAGATATTGTAAAGTATAGAATTAGGATCCTTTGAAAATATTGAGAGAGAATCTAGTGATTAAAGATGAGGTCTTCATAAAGTAAAATATATTTTTTTCTAAATAAAGAATAATTTTAATTTTTAACATATCTTCATAAATTTTCATTCTATAACCAACATGTAGAAAGAACTGAAGTAATTTTGAAATATAAAGATTTCATAAATATAAAATCTTACCATGAATTCCAAAATTTAAAAAATGAACTTTAAACACACTTAATATCCAAGTGCTCTCATTAAAACCGGTACTTCTCATTTTTTACTTAGATAATTAGGAGTAAATGATTATAATTTCATGGAAAATTATAAATAAATGTTATTGTTATTTAAAACATTTTTTTGTTCATTTTTACTAATTATAATTATTTTTACTTCAAAGGTTTAAATAATTTTTGTTTCTCTGATTTTAGAAAGTTGGGTAAAGGATAGGCTAATTTATTAAATGCATTGCTATTTATTTTCAGGTAAAGAAATAGGATTTTGAGCCTAAAATTAGATCATTTTACTAGACCATTACTTCAGTTATAAATTTTATTTTCACATTGGCCAAATTCTCTTCACACACATTAGATTAAATTGCTATTTATTTTCAGGTAAAGAAATAGGATTTTGAGCCTAAAATTAGATCATTTTACTAGACCACTACTTCAGTTATAAATTTTATTTTCACATTGGCCAAATTCTCTTCACACACATTAGATTAAAGAAACAATCTACAGAAATGTCTATTATTTGAAATATATGATTAATTATGTGGGTATTTTTAGATTTATTTATAGCACATATTTTTGATAAAAAACATTTTATTATATTTTCTAAAAGGTATGTTTGAGGATACTCCTAGTATCACCACTTTAATTCAATTATGGAAATCGTTGGTAGATTAAAAAAACCAAAAACAAAAACAAAAAAACTCTACATCAAATGATTTTACCTAATTCCTAATATCCAATCTCTAGACTCATAAACTTTTGATAAGGATTGATGTCAAACTGATATATATGTTTGGAACTGCCTAATTGTAATAAAGAATAAAGCTTAAATCATTTGAATCAGTATATAAATGTATTAACTCAAAATTTGATTTCTAAATGCATAAAATTTTATTTTATTCCTAAATGTGAGGGAGATTGCATTTAAAACAAAAGAAAAGTGAATAGTATATTGCCATTTAATGGAAGAAATTTAGTCAATTTTAGTCTTTGCCCATTTATAAATCAACTTTAAAATACTTTGTTATTGCATAGTTGAAAAAATAAAAGCATCATTAGGAAAACATATAATTAGTTGATTTCATTGAGATAGTATTTTTGAATTCTCAAGTTTGATTTTTATTTAAGAAAGTTATTTGAAACAAATACTAAACGTTAGTTAGAAGTTGAAGGCTCTTCAGAACTCAATCTTGAGAAAATTGAACTCACTTCATGGGCTCTAAATGTTGCATTACTTACAGCTTTAATTTTTGAGTTTTGTATTATGCTAAGAATATAATTATGTTAAAACATATTTAGTTACTTTACTCTTTGAAATCCATTGTTCTTGGTATTGGGAATTATTCAGTTGCGTTTACTATAAGGTTTATGGCTGTTTTCAGAAACAGTAGCAAATATAATCTCAAAATCAAATAAATCTATAAAATAAAGAAGTAGCAACTCTAAATTATTTTAGAATATTTATTTCATTTTGTTTCTTATCCATAAATATTTCATTAACATGGTTTTCAGATTTAAAATACCCAAGCTTGCTGTTTTCTTCTGTAAAAAACAGATCTTTTTTATTATAATAAAACTAACAAAAATTTAAATGATCACACTCAGTAGTATTTCTTTTAAAAATTCTTAGGCATTTTGGCTTCTTTAATATTCTTAATATTTAGTTTAAAACAATTTAATGAATGGGAAAAAATAAAAGAAGCAAAGAGAGTATTAACTAACAAGATTCAAAGCATCCATTCTGAAATCTTTAGTCCCAGCCATATGTAAACTTTTATAGGAGTCAGTACCTGTAGACATCACATTGGTGGCATGATTGGAGACCGGTAGACACTCGGCAGCACTGTGGTGCATTATCAGAGGCAGGGTTGCAGAAGCATCAGAATTCAGAGGTATGAAGGTATCAGCTGAAGAAAAAGATTGGCAACTCATTCCCACAAGAGGAGAAAATTAAGGAGAACCACTGCTTCCCAAATCAGAGTTTTACTATATTACTATCTCAAAGGGCCTATTCAGTTCTCACTACCTGCATATATACATCAGGAAGGCTCTGAGGCACCAGGAGGGCGCGTGCTAGTATTTATACTGCAAGGAAATCCCTTTATACATGTTAATAGTCTTTTCCCAGGAGTATTGCTTTATCCATCTGAACTGTCTTCCTTTCTCACCCAAATGTAATCCATGCCCACGAAGGAAGCTGGTTCTGAAACTTTATATGGCAACTTCAGTAATTCAGACCTTTTAGAGAGGAATCAAGGACTCCAAAATTGTCCCTCAAAGAAATAATGCTACAATAAATTGAAAAATAATAGGTATCTTTTTGCTGTGAAACACATTGCATATTTATAAAAGCAATATTTCTTTGTCTTTTTTTGATAACTTCTTATAAAATCTGCAAAATGACATGAAACAAGGAAAGTGCATACTACATAATGTTAGAAAGCGGATATTTAAGCATATAATACTAAATGTGAAGAGGAATTACTTTCACATTGAACAATGCAGTTTTGCAAAACTGCAAACCAATTTAATTTTTACTATATTATAAAATGGGAAATGGAAAAATATTGAATAAAATGTAGTAATGTATAGAGAAGATGAATCTGAGTGGTTGTATCTTTCCCTCGATTTCAACGCACTCCTCAAGAACCATCCCTGAGTAAGCTCTTGCTAGATGCTGACAGGATTCTAAGCACTTTTTTGCAGTTGTGTCATGTAAATCTCACACCTTTGTGAGTTATGTACTGTGCTGTCCTCACTAAGCTAGACTGTGCTAGAGGCTGGGATGTTGGCCATTCAATGCAGAGACTGAGGCAACCATGGTAGTACTCGAAGCAAACTTCTCATACAGAACATATTATAAATATTACATGAGAATGAAAAAGATAATATACTACAAACAGTTGATTCAAAGCTAAATATCAACATCCAGATTTTATGATGATCATAATTTCTACGTATTAATGAGTGAATGTGATACCATGTACAGAATGCATATGAGGATACTATGGCAAACACAAACAAAAGACAAGCAGGCACAGACATTACTAATGTAAGTGAGGGCCATACTGCATTAGACACTGAAATTTCGTATTTTGGAATGCTTCACTATAACTTGGAATTGGTTGCTTTGTTAGATTTAATGTTAATACTGACAAGAACACATTTGCAAAAACTTGAATGCTTTGTTAGTAACCAGCTAGTATTTTGTATGAAAACATGTGAAAGGTTGTCCACATCATTAGATATTGCCTGAAAGATATTTATTCTAAAAATGACATATTTTTCCATTCTGAATTCTGTATCCTTGAAGCTCTATTAGTCTTCTCTAATGAGAGAAGAAGATTTCAGTTAATCAAAAGCATTTATTACACTCTTGGAGAATTCTGGTCATTTTTAGACTTCACATACACAAAAAGGTGGTTTTTCAGTGTGTTTATAAAGAGACTTTGCTAAGGAAATTAAACAATAATATGTTTATTGGGTATTATGTATTTAAAGTTAAGCTAAATGATATTTACAGAGAACATAATATGAAAATCGCCCTTTATAATTTTACTATTGTCATCTAGCCACTGAAGTATGTTGGTAAAGTATATCAACCAAGTGATAGATGATGAAGGAGTATAATAAAACCTGTCTAGCAAACAATACAAACATTTCTAGTAATTTACCATGATATCTAAAATTATAAAATTACAATCTTAGACAGGATTTCTTTAGTAATGGTTTAAAAAATTTAAATACCTGTTCTGTGAAATGCAGACCAGAATGTCACAGTTAAAATGGGGTACAGCCAGGTGATAGATGTTTCCATTATAGTCTTCTCACTTTATACTATGAACTATTCATTTACCAATTTTATCACCAGCTTTTTGTAAGCAGTTCTAAAGTTTGCATAATATTAAATTGTACAGAGCTGTTAAAATTTAATCATCTTTTTATTATTGGGTATTTGAGTTGCTTTCTAGTTTTCATCATTATAAATAAAAATGTTATTAACGTTTTTGTCCAAAGTATTCTTTTCATAATGCATTTTTATAATGTATCTATAGTATTGTTTTGAATGTCCCCCATTATGATAGATTCTTAGAAGTGGAATTAATAAGTTTATTCTTACTAACTTTTTAACATCTTGAAAACATTACCAATTTGCTTTTGCAAATAATTTGCCCTATTATGATTTTGGTTTAAAATACAGGAATAAATTGAGCAAAAAAACGATTACTATCAGGAGACAAGGGAGTTTCCTGGAACTCACAGAAAAGAAGGAAGTCAGGCCATATGGAGACACTGAACTGGAAATGGGAAGCCACCTGGCAAACCTGGCTCACTCTCCTATCTACTTTTTTCTGTGTCTCTCACTTTTCTCATTTTCTACAGAAAAGCCTACACTGATTCTTCATCCACGGCAACCTCACAGATCTCCAGATCATGTCATACTTACAAGAAGGCAAAGAGACTATGTTGTAGCTTCTCAGTCTGCATTTATGAGAGAACCATTCTTACTGGCCATGGCTATTGATGTGTTCCAGCAGAACAAACATGGTTCCTGGTGGCCCATGTGTGAACAGATGAGTTGGCCCTCCCTGGATGTGTTCAGGCACTTGGAGACAATGAGGAAGAGACCATTATCTGGAAGCCACCCTTACAATGTGACCGATGCTGTTATACCATCTTACACTAGCACGAGGAGTGTAAAATTGACAGTTTTCTTACATTCTCAATGTCGATAATAAAGTCTAAATATTTATGCTTTATTGACTGATAGAACAAGGGCATTTTATTGCTTTAATCTGTATTTTTGATTCCTAATATGCTATCTCGAGGAGTGTAAAATTGACAGTTTTCTTACATTCTCAATGTCGATAATAAAGTCTAAATATTTATGCTTTATTAACTGATAGAACAAGGGCATTTTATTGCTTTAATCTGTATTTTTGATTCCTAATATGCTATCTTTTCATATTTATATGAGTTATTTGTATTTATCATTTTGTTAATTAACTGCCAATTTTATATTTATATGGATACAATGGACATGTGTGTGTTTTTGAAATATACTAAGAATGTCAGTAATTTCTTGTTCATCTTTTAAATTTATGCTGGAACTTGACATATGTAATATTTTATGTAAGAGGTAAATGTTGATCTTTTCTGCATTTCTTAATGATTTTAAATTTTAAAATTCTCCCTTATCCAAAGGTTTATTTATTTTTACTTTTGTTTTGCTATTTGGGAAAAAAAATTCCTCTTGACATTTTAAGTTGCTATATTCGTTATGTTTCTAGAGCTCATCTTTGATTGCCTGGACAAAAATAAAAATTGTAGCTCAATTTGAAAACTATCAGATAAATAAGAATAAAAATCTACTTCAAGTTAAGACAATAAAAAAGCAAAACAGAAGAGAAGTCTTGGGCAGGCATATTTATTAGCCTGATTTATTCACTGTACCTGTTCTTCAATTAAGCCAAATAGAATTTTTTAAAAAAAAATACACTGAGTTTTGAAAGAATGATTACATTTTGAAAAGAATATACAAGCCCAGAAAAAATGCTATTGAGAAATAATAAGCAAATCTATTTATCTCTAGGTAAAGGAGTTAAAAGCTTTTTTAAAAAAAATATATATATATATATTTATATTTTCTAAGTTTTTTCATTTTTGTATGAGTTAAGAAGCACTATAGTATGTTCGGTATATAGAAAGATTTTGGATCCAAACTAAGATTAAACCTGAGCTTTAGACCTTAATAGCTATTAACAATGAGCAGGTAATTTCACCTTTCAGTGTTTCAGATTACCTTGCCTATAAAATACAGATAACATTAATACTCAACTGACTTAGAACAATGCCTGACATGCAATAAACATTCAGTGAATGTTAGCAATTACTAACATGCAAAGCTTTACAATAATAATTGTTTATGCTTATTTAGTCTTTGTGCTTTATATGTATTATCTCATTTGATCCTCACATTAACCTGGTGAGGTAGGCACCATTTTACAGACTGGGAAACTGAGGCTTAGGTTAAATTCTTACCAAAAGTTACTTAGTAAGTGGTGAAACTGGTATAGGAAGCCAAGCCATTTAAAGCCTGAGCAAGCTACATAATATTGTTTTCTACCATATAAGGAAAAGCTATATTGATATTAAGATGTATTTAACTCTAGTTTTATATCTCTGTCTACGTATCTCTACATGTAGACTCTTTGTTTGCCACATAGCTTCAGAGAGATAACATGAAAAGCAAGCTAATTCTCTAAAAGATGCAGTGTTGCAGCATCTGCATCTCTATATAAGCCTGTGTTAGTACCCAACTATATTACATGATTGATATAGGTGTTATTTCCTGTGGTAAAATGGACTGGCACTGATGAATAATTTAACCTTATTCAATAATGTGCTCAATTGATGTTAATAATTCCTTTTTCCACCAACTTGCAACTCAAATCGCTTCGAACTGATCGCAAGTTGTGGATAATACATTCACATAAAAGAAAAAGATGAAGAAGGAATTAAGATGAAAATTCCCAATGGAAAAGAAAATGAGTATGAATCTAAATTAATTTATACAGTTAGCTTAAGTGGCAATAAAATGTAGTATTCCCACAACTCATAACTTTTGAAAAGATGAATTTTACTCAAAACAGTTTTTTAAGGATGAGATTATACAGCCATATGGCTTAAAAAGGGACTCTATCACATTGGAAGCAGACATTATTTAAAGCACATATCAGTCATGCATGTCATGTTTGGCTCTTTATTGATCATGAAAACAGCAATGAATGCATGCATTATGCAGTTATTCTTTGTTAAATTCTTTCATATCCAGAAATCAACGTTCTTTATCACCCAGGGAAGAGATAATGTCAATAGCTTGCAACCTTGCAGAAGATGAATGCTTTCTTACTGCTATCTAAAAGGTAAGCTTATAACTTATGGAAAATAAATGTCAAGGTGAGACATTGACTTAGGAATGATGCTTGCCCACAAGGGCCATATTCCTGTTGTGCTATAGCTCATGGGTAGATTTATCATTTGTCTCACCCTCT